AATTGGAGAGTGAATCATCGGATGGAAAACTTCTCTCTCTCTCTTCCTCTCCTCTCTCTGTGTGTAATTCTGACTTTCAAATTAATAAATAAATCTTTGAAACAAAAAAGAAGTTTACATTTGTTAAATAGCATACTATTAGAGATATTGTTGAGTTTACTTGTGATCTTGGAAACCGTGGTTGTGAAAGAAATCTCCCACACTCAGTCTTTTGTATTCTAGAAAATGACTTATAGAAGAGAACCTCCAGCTCTCATGAGAATTAAGATTCACAGACATGCCCCTTGTTTACTTTCCCACATGGCCAGGTTCAGACACTCCAAATTCCCATTCTTTGCTTCTAAATACTTAGCTGAACTGCTTGTCTCCACTCATCAGTCAGAACAAAATGTTTGTTAACCAAACTTGGTAGGCCTTCTTTCTTCCAGGACCCTGAACTTTGGCCGACATACAACTCTTTCTCAACAGAGCTCCAGAAACTGGGCAAGCCTCAGGTAAAATGTTCTCTGATTAACTATCTGAGCTCATGACCCTTTCAGCCTTATTCCTCACACCTGGCTATTCCTAAATTTGTTACACCTCTTCTATAAAAGAAAATCTCTTTTCACATAATTTTTGAGAAGCTTTCTGGCAGATCTGTGATCAAAACATTCACTCTATTGCAATAGTCCTTTTCCTCATTTTGCAATAATCCTTTTTGAGTAAAATCTCTCTGTACTAAGTCTGCATTCATTTTTTATTTGACAATAGGCATATATACACTTTTTGAATTTCAAAATATTTCTTTTTATAGGGTTTAATTTATTTGAAAGGCAGAATGACAGAGGGAGAAACACAGAGAGATCTTCCATCCTCTGATTTGCTCCCCAAATTGTCTCAGTGGCCAGAGCTGGGCCAGGCCAAAGCCAGAAGCCTGAAACCCCATCTGAGTCTCCCTTGTGGGTAGCAGGAACCTAAGCGCTCAGGCCATCTTCTGCTTCCTTCCCAGACACACTAGCAGGGAGCTAGATGGAAAGTATAGCAGCCGGGACTTGAACCAGAGCTCCAATATGGCACGCTGGGGTTTCAGGTAGCACTTAACCTGCTGCACCATAATGCTGGCCTTGAACATTCATATGCAAAATAGATTGAAGAGAACTATAATGGAAGAAAGTACTTAGCAGTTGAAACGAATAGCTCTGAAATCTGCATTTGAGGTAAAAGCAAAGCAATAGAACTCAAGTCAAATTAACTTTCTATTAGAAGTGGATTAGATCCTCCGCCTTGCGGCGCCGGCACACCGGGTTCTAGTCCCAGTCGGGGCGCTGGATTCTGTCCCGGTTGCCCCTCTTCCAGGCCAGCTCTCTGCTGTGGCCGGGGAGTGCAGTGGAGGATGGCCCCAGTGGTTGGGCCCTGCATCCCATGGGAGACCAGGAGAAGCACCTGGCTCCTGCCTTTGGATCAGTGTGGTGCGCCAGCTGCAGCACGCTGCCCCCAGCGGCCATTGGAGGGTGAACCAACAGCAAAGGAAGACCTTTCTCTCTGTCTCTCTCTCTCACTGTCCACTCTGCCTGTCAAAAAAAAAAAAAAAAAAAAAAAAAAAAAAAAAAAAAAGTGGATTAGAATTTCCAACTGACCAGGCTGATCAGAAAATTCATGTGATGTACAATCGAAGGAACTAGAAATATCAAATCCTGGAAAGAAAAAGACTCAGAAGGGTAGAGCAGCTGTCTTTAGATATTTTAAGGGTTGTTATATAAGAAATGGATCTGCAAGTTTTTTATATTGCCATCAGAATTGTGATCAACAAATGGAAGCTTAAAGAAGACTCCAGCACAATCTAATTTAACAAACTAAAAGGCAGAATGGGCTACCTAGCACATCACAAGTTGATCACTGGTACCGAAGTCCAGACATGATGTAGCTGAGCACTTAAAACAAGAGTAGTGCACGGGTTGCTGAACCAGGTTATCAAACAGCTTTTGAATTCTATAGTTCTGTCTGCTGGATAATGCAGTGAGCACCTCAATCAGCTTTATTTTAAGAACTAGCCAATCTCTTTGTTCCAAGATTTTCTAATTACCAATAATGTCATTCCAATGTCATTAAACATAAGATGGAAGAAAGAAGAGAGGAAAATTCTCCCACTATGATATATATGCTTTAATATTTGCTAAAAAAGGTGAAAGAGTAAAATCAAAACCATCAATAAAAGAAAGAAGCTATTCTTACACCAGAATGTGCACATAAAAAGAACTCGTAATGCTCACACTCTAGATGTCGCTTCTGCTTGTCTTTGATGCGACTGCATCCATGTTGGAGCTTTTATAAGACAAAGAAGCAAAGAAAATTGTAAAAAATTTAAATTATCTACCAAAGAAGTCTTTGATGGCGGAACTCTGGATAGAGCTATGAGAGGGTTTTTCTAAAAGCCATAGATGGATACTAAACAGATATGTCAATCAATCCAACACAATCTAGACAATACAAGGTTCTGGAATACCAAGAGAAAATGATAGATGATTTAAGTTTTAAGCAACTCTTTTAGACAAAAAAAAAAAAAAAAAAAAGCACTGCTTTGCATGTTTTGCAGATTTGCCAGTTCCTTTCCTATTTCATCCTCCATGACCATGAAAGTCACACACTGGGGTCTAATTATGTTTCGCAGAGCCATTCTTGTTTTTAAATCTGCCCTTAATATAAACCAGCCAACAGAGGAAATTATATTTAATAAGACATCTGGCTTCTAAATGAAGACACATCCCATTTTTATTCTAAAATAATTTTAATTAGGCTTGTTATTGAAACATGAAGTTGATGTCATTTGGAATTTCCTGTCCAAGAGAATTACATTTGCAGAGAAAATAAAAATATCAGAATATTTTCATGGGGCAAGATTTTGTTTTTATCTAAAGTGTGACAAGTCTAAATAGATAGTCAACATTAAGATCTAAGAGAATTTAACTTCTTTTCATTCATGAAATTATGCCAATTTAACTGAAATGAATACTATAGAATACTCACTTTGTATTTTTTATTTTATACTTACCTTTTTCCTTATCTTTTTATTCCTTTTATTTTCCCCAAAGTTAACCTCTTTACTTATATCTCCATTAAATTAAATTTCTTTCCTTGTTCCCATTTCATCTCCCTTGTTTTTCCTCCTCCTTTCCTCTTCCTGTGTCTTGCTCCTTATTTATTCTGGCTTTGCAACCAAAAGGATTCATAATTGTCCAATACCGAGAATTGAATGCTAGGTGAAGGAGTTACTTCACATATAGAAGATAAGACCCTACTCTAGGAAGAGGCTTCTAAATTTTTTTCTTTTTATCATACAAGAGAATTAAAATATGATATAAGGCATGGGTGTTGGGTACAGAGGCTAAGATGCCACTTGGGACACCCATGTCCCATATCAGAGTGCTTGAGTTCAAGTCCTGGCTGTGCTTTTCTTTCCAGCATCCTGCTAAAGCACACTCAGACATGCAGCAGGTGATAGCTCGAGTAGTTGTGTCCCTGCCAACCCTGGGGGAGACCCACTTGAAGTTCCTGTCTCCTGGCTTTGGTCTGGCCCAGCCCCAGCTGTTATGGCCATTTAAGGAGTAAACTGGAAGACAGAAGATAACTCTTGGTCTGTCTCTGTCACTGTCTCTCTGTCTCTTGGCCTTTCAAGTAAACAAATAAATACTTTTTTTAAAAAGTAATAGAAATTTACTTTTTTAAAAAAATGTTGATGTGAAAACAATAACAAAATAATGCCAAAATAAACCAAAGCAAAAGTCAAACTAGTCAAAATCTAGAAATTAAGATTAATGGCCATTAAACAAATCAAAACAAAGCCAGTTACAATTACTATTCCTAATTAAATATTTTATAATTATAATATACAATATATAATTAATATATTATTATATATTAATTAATGTGTAATATAATTAATTATAATTAAATTTCATGACATCTTATAAATTAATAATTAGAATATTTAGTACTTATAAAATTGCAATAACATTTGATACTATGTAGAAATTATAAATAAGAAAAATATGCTCTTTCATAAGTGTTCATCCTATCTATTATAAAATAAGAGCTAAACCCATAAAAATTAAATCTAGAGGAAGATTACAACCAGAGCCATCTCTTCTCAAAGCAAATGGTCTCTCATGTCTTTAAAATCATACACAATTATTTCTGAACTTGTATTGAAAAGCAGAAAGATATTTACAATTTAAAATAAAGTTGAAGGGCGAGCATTTGGCCTAGCAGTTAAGGCACCTCCATCTCACATGAGAGTACCTAGTTAATACCTGGCTTCCACTCCTGACTCCAGGTTCATGAAAGGCAATGGTGATAGCTCAAGTGATTGAGTTTCTGCCACTTACAAGGGAGACCAGGACTGAGTACCTGACTCAGTCCTGGCATTGTAGGCATTTGCAAAGTGAACTAGTAGATGAGAGCGCTCTCTCACACTCTCTCTCTCTCTCTCTCTCTCTCACACACACACACACACACACACACTGTCTCTCAATCAATAATTTTTTTAAAAGTTTAATGAAGTTGACTATAGGTGTTTCCTATAGACATAAAACATTTGCCGAATTATTCTTATCATTTATGCCATAATATAGTGTGATGATCAAATTGTTATTTGTTAGCATATTTGTTAGCATGCTGAAACAGAGCTGGTTTAATTAAAATGCCTGAAAGACTTTTTGCCTACAGCAGAACTTGTTAAATAATTAGTATAATACAACTGCTATGTTCTACATTTTGTTTTTAACAAAGATGAACTTTGGTGATATCTGGGTATCTAACATTAAATCAGGAAGGATGATTGTAGAAACTCAACATCTAAATAAAATATCTGAAGCTCAGAATAATTCAAGAATTTTGCCTTTGAATATAACCACAGTCATTTGCTTTTTCAAGAGGTTAAAGGGTTTTTCGTGGTAATTGGGAAAAATTCATAGCAACATTCATCTTAAATAAAGCAATTATCAAAATAAACTCATTGTACATACCAAATTGAGTTACAGTGCAGGGAACTGAAGTGCATCATGTATCAAATTCTAATAGTATTTCAGCTGGTTTAGTCTTTAAATTGATGAACACGCCAAGTTAAAGAGGTTTCCTGTTTTGGAGAGATGAGGAAGAGTTAAGAGGAATTCAACATGTTTTATTTTTCCAGGATTTTTCAATATCCAATTAAATTTTAGTGTGATAACTACATTTAGCTTGTTTTCTTACAGAGAGTGAACATTCACCATGATGACAATCTCATCATGCTAATGCCTATTCCCAAATCTAAGCTTTGAAGCAAAAAAGGCCATTTCTCCAAAATTTTATGTACAATATAAATGGAATATATATATATATATATCAAGCCACTGAATTTAAAATTATACAAAATAGAAATCTGAGAAACATTTAAATTTATATTGATAATGGGAGTTCATTTAAATACCTTGCTTCAAAAGACTGATTGATGTCTTCTACAATCTTATTTTCCTGCAATGTTTTTAAATTACTAGAAGCAACCCTAAGTAGTATTTGTGAATATTGTCAAGGGATCTTCAAATATGCTTAAAAGTGTATTAATTATCTATTTGTGACTATCTGAGAAGTTGGGCATTTTATTCATACAATGCAATAGAAGAAAAAAAAAAGCTAAAGCTACAGACTGGAAACACATAGTAGGATCCCAAAATGTGTAGAGGCATTATACTTAGCTACACAGGGAGAAAACAGTCCCTGGAATTTTTCAGAGGAACACAGTAACACCATTTTTGATTCATTCATGCAGGTCAAGCATCTCTTTTTTTTTTTTTAATTTTATTTAATGAACATAAATTTCCAAAGTACAGCTTATGGATTACAATAGCTTCCCCCCACCAACTTCCCTCCCACCCACAACACTCCCCTCTCCCTCTTCTCCCCTTCCATTCACATCAAGATTAATTTTCAATTATCTTTATATACAGAAGATCAATTTAGAATATATTAAGTAAAGATTTCAACAGTTTGCACCCACACAGAAACACAAAGTATAAAATACTATTTGAGTACTAGTTATAGCATTAGTTAAACACCTGAGAGTAATTGTGTATTAATTACAGAGTTCAACCAATAGTTTTAAGTAAAACATAAAAAATACTAAAAGGGTAAAGTATTAAGTTCTTTTTCTGTTTTTTTTGTTTTGCTTGTTATATAGTTATTTTTTTATTTAATAAATGTGAATTTACAAAGTGCAACTTGTGTATTGTTGTGGCTCCCCACCCCCAACCTACCTCCCTCCCTCCCATGGCCCTCCCCTCTCCCACTCCCTCTCCCATCCCTCCCTTCATCGAGTTTCATATACTGAAGATCAACCTAGTATATACTAAGCAAGGATTTCAACAGGCTGCACTCACACAACCGCACAAGGTATAGGGTATTGTTCGACTAGTAGTGTTGTTTTTAAGTTTCATAGTAAAACACATTAAGGACAGAGATCCTACGTGGGGAGCATGTACCCAGTAACTCCCGTTGTTGATTTAACAATTGGCACTCTTATTTATGGCGTCAGCAATCACCCGAGACTCTTGCTATGAGCTGTCTAGCCAATGGAAGCCCCTTGAGTTCACTGACTCTGACCTTGTTTAGTCAAGGCTGTATCACAGTGGAGGTTCCTTCCTCCCTTCAGAGAAAGGCGCCTCTCTCTCCTTGATGGCCTGTTCCTTCTGCTGGCGTCTTGTTCACCAGGATCTTTCATTTAGATTGTTTTTTGCCACTGTGTCATGGCTTTCCATGCCTGTGAGACTCTCATGGACCTTTTAGCCAGATCCGAATGTCCCAAGGGTTGATTCTGAGGCAGGAGTGCTGCCATTCTATGAGTCTGCTGTGTGTCCTGTTTCCCCCTCAGGATCATTCTCTCCCCTTTAATTCCATCCTTCATTAGTTGCTTTCACTGGTCTTATTTGTGAAATCTCATCAACACATACCCTATCTTGTTGATCAGTTGTGTATTTATACTTATCACTTTACCAAGTGTGCTGGCATTGGTAGCAGGTCAAGCATCTCTAATCCAAAATTTAAAAATCTGAAATGTTCCAAAGTATAAAAGTTTTTGAATATTGAAATGACGCCAGCCAGCGCCATGGCTCACCAGGCTAATCTTCCGCCTGTGGTGCCAGCACTCCGGGTTCTAGTCCCGGTTGGGGCACCGGATTCTGCCCCAGTTGCTCCTCTTCCAGGCCAGCTCTCTTCTGTGGCCCGGGAAGGCAGTGGAGGATGGCCCCAGTGCTTGGGCCCTACATCCATTGGGAGACCAGGAGAAGCACCTGGCTCCTGGCTTCGGATCAGCGCAGCGTGCCGGCCGCAGCGCACCGGCCGTAGCAGCCATTTGGGGGGTGAACCAATGGAAGAAAGACCTTTCTCTCTGTCTCTCTCTCACTGTCTAACTCTGTCTGTCAAAAAAAAAAAAGAAGAAGAAGAAGAAATGATGCCACAGTGGAAAATTTCATACAATGAAACTTTGTTTTATGCAGAAAGTTATGAAAAATAGTATATGAAATTGCCTTTGGGCTTTGTGTATAAGATGTATATGAAATATAAATGAATTTCATGTTTAGATTTTGGCCCCATCCCCAAGATATCTCATTATTTATATGCAAATATTTCAACATCTAAAAAATTTCAAAATCCAAAGTACATTTGGTTCCAAGTAATTAGGAGAAGGGATAGTCAATGTATTTCACAGTGAAAATGCTATTTCTTTAGAAGTTCTACAGAGAGCCTGTAAAAATTTGAAAGTCTATCCAAAAGTTCTTGCTTAGAAATAATGGTGTTAAAACATATTGAACCATAAATATTATATATCTTCTTGGAGATCAAAACTGTCCATGTGAGTTTTGGAATGGGTATCTCACATGGACCTTAGAGGGTGTCACCTTTAGAGTTGTCAGGTTGTTTTTCAAAAAGAAGAAATGAATGACCTACTTTAAGTGTTTTCTGAATTACCAAGAATTTCACTCAAACTAGATTGATTATACAGAATACGTAAGTTAGTTTCTTGCTATTCTAATAAAACAGCCACTACAGGCTACTTACAGTCAAAAGAGGTTTATTTGGGTTGATGGTTTTGGAGGTTCAACAGTCCAAGACCAGATGGGCCCCCTGATTCAGCCTCTGGAGAAGCCTTTTTGGCCAGCAGTGTCCCACGGTGGTGCAACAGGGAGCACATCTGTGTCTATGTGGTCTCTTAGCAAACCACCAGGATTTAACCATGGGAGTTCCACCCTAATGATACAGCCCAGTCACTTCCCAAAGGCCCCACCTTCAAACACCATAATTGAATTAAGTTTCCACCATCTTAGTACAGTTAATAGAAGACATTGGGAGCCAAACCTTCAACACATGGGCCTTGGGGAGACAGTCAATATCCAAACTAATATTCAGATCATAGCAGAGAGAGATTTTCTTTTTATTTAAAAATAAAAAAAAATCAAAATATCTCAAGGGATTAAAAGGTGCAAAGCACAGTCATTTATATAGCTGAGTCTTAGAGCTGGAAAGGAAACAGAAAACAGTCTCTCCCTCCACCTCCAGCCTTGTTTGTTCTGTTCCTCACACACTGGCACAAACAGAGCTTAACTCCCATCTCCAGTAAATTTACCAACTCACATTTCTGAATACCAGTTCCAAATTTCTGACATAAGAATCTAAACTGGCTCAACCCAAGCAATGTTTCTACTCTCCTTGCTTCTCATGTCCACCACTTGCCTACTAGTTGAGATCAAGGAGAGGCAGGGACTTAGAAAAATCTACAACTGCAAGAATACACCCTTTGAGAAAGAAATGTTTCCAGAAAAGGAGGTAATTTGGGCAGCAATTATTGCTATCCTCCAGGAGATACAATTATGAACTTGGTCCTGCATATATGTGTACTTTGTACTTTGTTACATATGAGTATTATTTAACAACTTGCTTTTAAAAAAATTTTTTTGCAGTATGTCACACATACATTTCCACCAGGACTTTAAATGTTTTTGGCATATAACAGGCACCCAGTTATTAAATGTTAGACATGAGTGAAGCAGCTATAAACCAGCATTATTTCACTTTTTGTTTGTTGTTTTAACTAAAATACCTGAGAGTGTGTCTCTGGGGAAAAAAGGTTTATTTCAGCTCACAAATTGAGATTACAGGTTGGGGGGCCTCCTAGGCATCTGACAGAAACTAGTTATGCCATATTCAGGGACAGTGACTACGTGGTTTAGCTAAGAAGCCAAGAAAGAACTTAGGCTGAACTTGAACTGAAATGCTCAAACCTCTCACAAGAACCTCCTCCCCGCCAAAGGACATACCCCCAGTGACTGAAAAACCTCTCAATAGCTATACCTTACAGAGGCCATCATTAGATGATGTTTTAATCAATCAACCCACTGACATTATAACATCAGAGCTTAAACTGCTGCATGTGCTTTGTGGAGACAAATCCTACTCAACCTATAACATCTACATTTAGTTATTTTTCTGGGTATTACGAGATGTTCTATAGGTTGTTGGGAACAATCTCTAGTGATGAATCAGTGTTAAAATTGCTTATATATATATATTGATTTAGACATTTCAAAGCTGAATCCAAAGTGTTAGAATTAACATTGCTTTAAAACAAAACAAAACAAATTAAGGTACCTATTATCACATAATGAAATAAAATATTTAGATTGAAGTTATTATTAATGGAGATTTAGCAATTGCCTTGCAAAAGAATAGATATGTCCAAACATTATAAAGCAATCTTCAATATATCTTGTCACAGACTAAAATACATTAAAATATTATCATGATCCAAATACTATACTAGTCCCTGAAAATATTTTTCTTCCTTCATCATCTCCTTTGACCACTTCATGCCACTGCACCCCAGTTTAGTTTACATAGCTAGAAAATATGCTGATGCAAAATGGTCATTCCCATGAAGCTCAACCAGCTACATAAATGAAGGAATACATATGTGAGTAAACACATTTTGACAGCTCTTCAAGAACCTTTGTGATAAATAATCCCTTCCACCCTGAGACAAAATTAGGAAAACAAACATTTGGAAACAAAGGTGATAAAATTTGTAACCATGAGCTGTAAATTCTAATTCCCAGAAGCCCTGTTGGAGTTCAATTTGTCAGAGGCAGCTTTGAAACCGAAGATTTTTTTTACTATGAAAGTTGTGAATCTGGAGCAATAGAAATCTTTACCACCATTACACCCACCCTTTAAAAGTCTACATCTACAATATGTAGCCACGTAATTCTTCTTGTTTACCTCCTAATTAGTCTCCGTTAAAAGTATTTGTGTTGTTCTCAAGCATTACTAGAGTATTGACTCCAGCTGTGACACATAATGAACTGTTCCTGAAGTCTTTCCCAGGGAGCTGGTTCAGTGCTTAAGGAGATTTACTTGTTCTTAAGGCTGAGCAACCATTAATTCCATTACAATGGGTAGAAACATTTAAAGGCAAGTGTATATTGCTAGAAGCAGGTGCCTAAGAATGTGGTTGTCTTACAGTTTTAAGAAGGCAGGAAACTCAAATTAACTCCATGAAGCCATCTGTTAGAAACCAATCTGACAAGCAAAGCTAAGCTTTGCTTGTTTTGTTCAGCTCTGGGTTGCTTGTTTCCTCTAAGTTCTTGGCACTTAGAGTGATTTCCCTTCATTATTTTAAAGTCAGGTGAAAGTAAGTCATGTAGTATTAGTAATTCCAAAAGAAAAACGACAGGAAAGAATAACAGGATTGGAAAAAAGGGGGGAAAGGAAGGAAATACTGCAGTTTATTAGAATTTTAGAATTTATTTCACAATACAACTAAGTATAATACTTCACAAATAAAAGATTCTTTTAATTGATGTAATGCTGGTGTTGTTTAATCACAAAAACTAGTTTAGTAAATGACAAAAGGCATTTTATTTGCTCAACTGTACACATCTGCCTAGTTCATTTGTAGGGGGACAGGGCATGTAGGCACTATCTGCTGTTTCATATATTCTCCCCTGTGCCCAACACAGTGATAGGTAATTATGAACTGTGAGTTGAATTTTTTTTAATGATGCCCAAAACTTGGTGCTACTGGATTTCATTTCAAACAATAGTCAGCCCAACAACACAAATCCTCCGTGTTGAATGTAACTCTCTATTAAGTCAATATCCCATATACCCCACTCCTTCCCTTGGCTCCTCATGCTCCCTTTAGAGTTATATGCCCTGTTTTCACGTGTAGGAGGGTTAGTGAGATGGATGCTGAAGCGGGGGAAAAAAGAGACAGAGAGACAGAAGACAGACAGAGCTCCTGACATCCCAAAAGACCACGTCTTATTTCAACAAGCAGAAATTTATCGCTTCTCTGCCTTTTGGCTAAGATCAAGTGTAGTACCTGTTCTTATCAGTTTAATATCAACAAGCAGAAATTTATTGTTGATTGACTTGCCTTTTCCAGTAATCATCATTTTGACAAAAGAAATGACCAGAAGCATCAATGGATTACGAATGACTAGTTCTATACACTTTGGGACTAAATTTTAGCCTACTGTATCATATTCCACATCATTAAACCTGCTCTTCCCTGTCAAAATGCATTCCTGAAATTTTACACATGGAGCCCAAGAGAATAACGTATAGTGCTTAACACCCCAGTTTGTGCTTAATGAAGATTGAAAAGTAAGAAAATTCCTACCCATATAACAAAGACTTGAAACTATTCAATTCTTTGCTCGTGTGATTTTTTTTCACATTTATTTTCAATTGTGTGTGTGTGTGTGTGTGTGTGTGTGTCAGGCATGCAACTTTCAGTTTTTTAAAGAGCTGATTCTAGGATTTAGACAATGCTAGGAAGAATTGTAACCATTACTGCAGGAGTTAAAATGTGCACATGCCCAAGGCAATTCATTTCTTTGACTAGGCTGTCAAAACACTCAAATTGTATCCCTGTCATTCCTTCCTTCCTCTTTTACCCTCTCCCCAGCAGGGGCTCCCAACACTGAATCTTTGTCAAAAGAGACGACATTGTCAGATCTGCAAACTGTGCCTAAAAGGATTTCCAACCTTCTTTGTGTTGATTGTCATGTTTATTTCTTTATTTCTTTTTTGCAGAACCTTGCTGATTCTTTTCCGTTTAATTTAGTGGAAAAACTTATGCTTTAGGTCAGTTAACACTTAACAAAAGTGGTCATGTGTGTGCTTAAAAAATCCAAATAACTGGAGACTTTCACTTTATTTACACAATGAGGAAAGTAAGCAGTTTGCAGATTATGTTTACTTCTACTGAGAGAGAAGATAAATTGTATCAGAGAAACTCCCATAAGCATGTTGCTGATGTTCTGAAATGTGTGTGAGCCAACAAAGCCGCAAACAGCCCTAATATTATAAGTAGTTAGCCTAGACAGCTCATAGCAAGAGTCTCGGGTGATTGCTGACGCCATAAATAAGAGTGCCAATTGTCAAATCAACAACGGGAGTCACTGGGTACATGCTCCCCATGTAGGATCTCTGTCCTTAATGTGTTTTACTATGAAACTTAAAAACAACACTACTAGTCGAACAATACCCTATACCTTGTGCGGTTGTGTGAGTGCAGCCTGTTGAAATCCTTCCTTAGTATATACTAAGTTGATCTTCAGTATATGAAGGTAATTAAAAATGAAACTCGATGAAGGGAGGGATGAGAGAGGGAGTGGGAGAGGGGAGGGCCATGGGAGGGAGGGAGGGAGGTTGGGGGGGGGGGGGGAGCCACAATACACAAGTTGCATTTTGTAAATTCACATTTATTAAATAAAAAAAAATTATATAACAAACAAAAAAAAGAACTTAATACTTTGCCCTTTTAGTATTTTTTATGTTTTGCTTAAAACTATTGGTTGAACTCTGTAATTAATACATAATTACTCTTAGGTGTTTAATTAATGCTATAACTAGTACTCAAATAGTATTTTATACTTTGTGTTTCTGTGTGGGTGCAAACTGTGGAAATCTTTACTTAATATATGCTAAATTGATCTTCTGTATATAAAGATAATTGAAAATTAATCTTGATGTGAATGGAAGGGGAGAAGGAGTGGGAGTGTGGGTGGGAGGGAAGTTGGGGGGGAAGCTACTGTAATCCATAAGCTATACTTTGGAAATTTATGTTCATTAAATAAAATAAAATATTAAAAAAATAAGTAGTTAGTAAACAGTAAGACAATTATTACCAAAATGGCATACAGTCCATATTAAATATAATCATATACAAACACTAAAATAACAGAAAATATTTGTTAATCACCAGCTAAGAGCCAGACTCTATACCTCTAATTATTACATTTATTACACGTCAAGCACTCTTGAGTGCTCATATTGCTAAGTCTTGGAATATCAAAATTAAAAAAAATTCTTTGCCCTCTGACCATTCACAGTCTAGTGAGAAAAAAGACTGGTAAATAATAGCACAATGAGAATAGATGGACATTTGCATACTTACAGAGGCTTTTACCAACAACATCCAACTATGAAGGAGGAACCAGAAACAAAGGAGTGGAATCGAAGATCCAAGTATTGAGGAATGAGAATTAAACAGAAGACAAATGTTGCAATGTTGCTGTGTGAGCAAGAAGAGAGGCAGTTTTCCAGATTAAGAAAGGAAACTTACAAAGCATAGAGTTATGAGATTAGCAATGGACCTTGGAGAAGCCACAGGTAATTGTACCAGGGTGGAAGCTGAGGGGAGGAAGCAAGTATTCAAAGGCTGGCCTGCCATGCAAGGGAGTATGGGCTTTGTCTTTGAGACAGAGGGAAAACAATAGGATTTAAAATATATATATATATATATATATATATATATATTTATTTGTTTGAGAGGCAGAGATACAGAGAGAGGGAAAGCTCTTTCATTTGTTGGCCCACTCCCCAAATGGCTACAACAGCCTGGAGCTGTGCCAGGCTGAAGCCAGGAGCCAGGAGCTTGGTCCAGATCCCTGATGTGGGCACAGGGGCCCAAGGACCTGGGCCATCCTACGCTGCTTTCCCAGGCCGCCAGCAGAGAGCTGGATTGGAAGTGGAGCAGCCAGGGCTCAAACCAGTACCCATAGGGGATGCTGGCCCCGCAGGTGGAGACTCAGCACACAACAGAGTTAGCCCCAACAACAGGATTTTTAAAGAGTGGCTAAAAGATTGTAACTTAGAAATAAAAATAATAAAAGACATCCTTTATTGACTGCGATTGTGTACCATTCTTATTAAACTCGCATTACCAGGTTACAAATAGCCATTATTATCCTCATTTTACAGATAACTGATGCTCAAAAACTTTAAGTAACTTGCCCACAACCATATAGCAGCTAAGTTTCATAATGCTCTCAATTTCCATTCTACCTCTCAGGGTAGCTGTGGCCCAGTGGTTAAAAGCAAGTGTTTTAAAAGCCCACTGACGGGGCCAGTGCTGTGGTATAGCGGGTAAAGCCACTGCTTGCAGTATGGCATCCCATATGGGCACCAGTTCGAGTCCTGGCTGCTCCACTTCCAATCTAGCTCTCTGCTATAGCCTGGGAAAGCAGTAGGAGATGGCCAAAGTCATTGGGTCACTGAAATCCTGTAGGAGACCTACAGGAAGATTCTGGCTCCTGGCTTCTGATCAGTGCAGCTCCCCGCCATTGTGGCCATCTGGGGCATTAACCAGTGGATGGAAGATTCTCTCTCTCTCTCTGCCTCTGCCTCTCTGTAACTCTTTCAAATTAATAAATAAATTTTTTTAAAAAAAGAAATCCAACTGACTGGGTTTTGAATTCCTACCCACTTTACTTGTTTTATGACCCTATATAAGTTTTGTTTCATTTTATCAATGGAAAGTGGAAATAATAAAAATTTACACCAAAATAAATAAAGGCAAATGAGGTAGTACACATTAAGCAGTTAGCACAACACTCAGCCCTTAATTTAACACTCACAATTATGATGCTAGAGCAGACACTATGCTTCAGCACATTGTATCCAACCTTTTAATCTCTGTATGAACCACACAAGATGAGTATTATTATCTTCATTTTACAATTTTTTTAAATATTCTGAACTTAGAGAAATTAAATCTTCTGCAGAAAGACATAAAATTAAGTGGCAGAGCCAATTCTGCAACAAAGTCCCCTTTCTTTTTATACAAAATATGATATGCCAGTCATTTGTGTACCACATAGTATAAATTTAAAAGACTGCAAGGTAAGAAGTAGTATATTTAAGAAGCTTTTGTAGAAATCTGAGACAGAGTTGTCGAGCGTTGGAAATACTGTAGAGTAAGAGAAGTCAGACATTTTGACAAGACTGAATACAAGATCAATGATGGAACCCTGAAATTAGGGAAGAACTTGCTTTCCACGGTCCTTAATTTCGGGAGAGAAAAAAAAAGAATTTCTTTACATCCATAGAGCTATGCCTTATAACAAACTTGTATGCAGAGGAATTTCACTAAACAGTGTTCTTGGTCTTTTTTTTTAACTTCTTCTTTTACACAGGGAGAGTTTTAGAGAAGGAACTGAGCAAGAGAGGATTAAGATGTCAGAGTACAGAGGGAGCTTGCTGCTATAGTCTAGAAGAAGATAGTTTTTAAAAAGTGGAAAGAGCATAGTTTCAGGGAAGAGTTAGGGAGAAAACAGCAAAGGAAACTACGTAAATTGGAGGAATACAGTGGACCCACGTGGAGGGCAGGACATGCGCAACTCAGGACCTCAGCAGCCAAGAGCCACCAACCACATCAGCGTTAGAGAGGGAGGTAAGGTCAGACGGTAGCAGCCCAAGCCACTGGTGAAAAGCTGCAGGAAGAGCCTAGAGGGAATCCAGCTTGGAGCCCCATGGGGGATAGTGTGCCCACCAAACTAGAGGGAAAGAAAACAAAGTGGGAGGCATATTTTCTCTCTCCCCAGTCATCCTGCAAAAACATCCAGTAACAAGCTGACAGAGAGCAGGCACCATTTTGGACATACATAACAGCTGTGCCAGCTCACATCCGTGCCCAGCAACCAGCCAAGAGGAGACTCCTGAGTCTGGTGGGGAAAACAGACAGGGGACTGAGTGCTCATGACTGTGAGAAGCTTGTGTGCTGGGACTGTGAAAGCACTGAGGCTGCGTAGGATGTAGCTGGGACTTGGGGCAGCCACCGCGGGAGGCTCCACATGACCAGCACTCCCTGGTTACCTGACAATGGACATCGTTGGGGAATTTGAGCTTATACTGAGGACTGCACAGATCCTTTGTGTGGTCCTTGTGGCAGAGCAGATGAATAATATACTCACTGGGGCTAGCGTCGAGGCCCTGGTTACCTTTGAGGAGAGGAGCTTAGTTGAGTCTATGCCAACAGACAAGAACAACCCCCCACCACCACCCACCCCAATTAAAAAAAGAAAAAAAAAAAAAGAGATTTACCACACCAAACCTGGGTGTGTCACCTAGACATGCCCTTCACCATGAAGCACTGAACAGAGCTCCTTGACCAGACCAAGCACACACTCTAGGTAATCCCTGAAAGCAGACAAAGAAGAAACCAGCAAGTATCTCCACAAATGCCAAA